GAGGGAAGAGGGAAAAAGAACTGTGAATTCGATAGGTTTAACTTTGAATATCAAATGTGGCTGTAGTTGAATCATTTCAGGATCAAATTGATAGGGCTCTCCCCATACAGATTCCACTTAATTTTATCTGATTCCAAATGATGTGTTCATAGGCATGGTACCATCAAACAGACATGATACGATCGAATAAACATAACGATATTGAAGTCGGTGATTGTTGTGAAATTTTGATTCGAAAATGTAAAAAACTTCATGAATATTTTACAGAAAGATATCAGAAAATTTTATCATTTTACAAAAAAAAAAACGAAAAAAAATTCAATGGAATCTGATGGTTTATATAAATGATATTAATCCGAGTCAACATAATGGGACAAAAACTACAGATAATCGGTTTATTTTAAAAACTACAACTAGATAAGCAACGACGGTGTGGAAATCAATTGAAATTCCCATTTCCGGTCTGAGCCCGTTATTCTCCTTGTTACTATCCTACAGAAGTGAAATATTCAAATACTCATGCAGCAATTTATTACCAAACAAATTGACAGCTTTATGTTTCATAAACTAAATAAAAAAGGTATTATGTCTGTTGCCATACCACTGAAATTGAACCTTTGTAGCAGTAATTAGGATCAAATAAAAAGCACATGATCTTCGGACCATAATATGACCACCAGCAAACACTCTGTCAAACTTCCCGTATACTTTCTTCCATTTCATATTGTAATTTAAGTCTTTTTTTTCAAAAAGTGGAATGTTTACAGATCTTACAGAAAAAAAAATTTTTTTAGTTCATGTATTCTTTCCAATTTTAATTTTTTTTAATTGGACAAAAAAAACTTGTAATACAGCAAAGCGGTTGAATGACCAGTCAGTAATCCTTTAAACTCCTTTAAGATTTTGAAAAAAAAAAGAAAAAAACATATAGTGAATTACACGAACCAAGAGAGGAACGATAATGAAAGTTTTTTTCATGGAAATTTAGAGAAATATAAAAATCTTGAAACTTTAAGTAAATTCAAGATTTAAATGCATGGAAAATCTTCTCAGCCAAGTTATTTTTACGGACTTTTTCAAGTAATGATAATGATAGGACCAAAGGCCAAATTATCATCACAATTTATTACTAGAAAAGAAAAAAAAACACTTGGAAGGTATTTGTGGTATTAACTAAAACTTAACCTGAGAAGGTTCAGTCTAAAAATAAGCTCATACAGTCGCATTATTATGCGCTCGAAAATACGAAAAATATTCACACTATATTCATCCAAATATATTAGATAGTTTGGTTTAAGTACCACAATAAATTAATATTTCTTTTCCTTTTTTTTGTTAAATGTAAATGGTGGTATGGAGTATTTGAAGCAGCATCCATGAATAAACTTAAGGTCTTTATTTCCAGTCAATTCACTCAACAGTTTCATTTCATTGCTGCTTGGAACACAATTGATTTGTTCAATTAAATTTATTACAACAATACTTACTAAACAGTATAGCACAGCACAGCACAGCATGAGGCAATCGAATGGAATTCTTTTTCTTTTTATAAATATGCTACTTTAACCAAATTCATCGATAATGTTAACAGAAATTACCCGTCTGTCTTCTACCACTATATTTTATATATTCCATTATTTTATAATGTACTACTATGCTGTGCTCTTCGCTATACTATCATTTTTCCTTTTATAATTCATATATATTTCACTGTTTTATATTGATTTAATCATCACAAACATATAATACAAGAGTTTCAGACTCTGAATACAGAAATTCATTAATTTTCACCGCAATTTTCAACAGCTTCCTAGAAATCAGTGGAGCGAAAGCGAAATGATTCAGATGAGCAGCTGACAATACGGGCATCATCCGACAAAATAAACAAAGTAATTAGAAGTTCCGAAATCTGGTTGATATTGGACCAATCTCGACAGGTAATATGAAGTGTAATTCACTGAAAAACTTGACTTCATTTTAAAATGACCCTTTACAATTACAGTTATTCGCTACATACTGCAATTTCAATCTTACTATATTGAACTGAATATCTTACTATATTGAACTGAAGTATTGAACTGATATCGGGTTTTTAAGTTGCTCGTTTACAGATGTGTTGCATCTTGGTTTATCTTGGTAAATAACAGTAACGTATTTCATGCTCCAAACAATCCCTAATAGTTCAATGATTTTATCAGACGGTAGGGAAAAGAATAGCTCTACTCAACTGTAATTGACATCTAACGCTTATTAAAACTTCAACTGATCACATATTTGGATCGAACCTGAACTACGGGTGCTTGCGTGGAACGTCGCATTGATGGTGTTCGCCGCCACAACGTGGATTCCCTACTGCTACGTTGTGTGTATTCGCCATCGGCAAGGACTTGTCGTGGCACCGATGAACCATGAAATTCAATTTCGAACTGAAAAAACTGTTGTATTTGATTCCAATAACTTTGTACTCCAGATTTTGCAGAAATTCGGAACAGATGATGAATTAATTACAGTTAGCAAAGAAAAATCAGAACACATATTAGCGATTAATACCGACCTTAGTTGCACAAACGAAGCAGGCAGTTACAAGTTTAGCAATTTCATTCATCAGATTCTTCGTCTCCTGTATCACCGAATCAACCTGCAAAACATAATTTGAAAACAAAAGGTTATCATCACGGCGTGCAACTACTCTTGACTAGTTCTTGCCAAATACAACAGCAATCATTCGTAACCTCAAATGGACTTAAAAAACAATCCGAATATCAAATGAAGCTAGAAAGCCAAAGAAAGTTGAATCAGAGACGGTTTAATCAGTGACTGGAGTAAGGATC